GGTTGCAGGAAAAGCAGTTTTTTTTGTTGTTTTATTTATTATTATTTTTTTTGTGGTACGCAGGCCTCTCACTGTTGTGGCCTCTCCCGTTGTGGAGCACAGGCTCCGGACACGCAGGCTCAGTGGCCATGGCTCACGGGCCTAGCCGCTCTGCGGCATGTGGGATCTTCCCAGACCGGGGCACGAACCCATGTCCCCTGCATCAGCAGGCGGACTCTCAACCACTGCGCCAGCAGGGAAGCCCAGGAAAAGCAGTTTTAAGATGGCATTTTATGCGATACAGGCCAGCCTCAGGAAACAAGAAAATTCTCAAATAACCTAACCTTACACTTAAAGGAGCTAGAAAAAGAAGACCAAACAAAACCCAAACTTAGCAGAAGGAAAGAAATTATAAAGATCAGAGCAGAAATAAATGAAATAGACTCATTAAAAAAATAGAAAATATCAGTGAAACTGAGAGCTAGTTCTTTGGTAAGATAAAATTGATAAACCTTTAGCCAGACTCATAAAAACAAAAAGAGAGGGCCCAAATCAATAAAATCAGAAATGAAAAAGAGGTTAGGACCAACACCACAGAAATAGAAAGGATTAAAAAAGACTACTATGAACAGCTATATGCCAATAAAATGGAAAACCTAGAAGAAATGGACAAATTCCTAGAAATGTAAAATCTCCCAAGACTGAACCAGTAAGAAATAGGAAACATGAACAGACCAATTACCAGTAATGAAATTGAATAAATAGTTTTTAAAACTCCCAACAAACAAAAGTCCAGGACCAGATGTCTTCACGGGTAAATTCTACCAAACATTTAGAGAAGTGTTAACATGTGTCCTTCTCAAACTATTCCAAAAAGTTGCAGAGGAAGGAATGCTTCTGAACTCATTCTATGAGGCCAGCATCACCCTGATGCCAAAACAAGACAAAGATACCACACAGAAAATTGCAGGCCAGTATCATTGAACATAGATACAAAAGTCCTCAACAAAATATTAGCAAACTGAATTTAACAGTACAATAAAAAGATCATACACCATGATCAATTGGGATTAATTCCAAGGATGCAAGAATGGTTCAATGTCTGCAAATGAATCAGTGTGATACACCACATTAATGAATTGTAGAATAAAAATCATATGATCATCTCAACTGATGCAAAACTGTTTTAACAAATTCAGCATCCTTTTTTTTTTTTTTAACAAAACCCTCAACCAAGTTGGTATAGATGGAACATACCTCAGCATAATAAAGGCCATATATGAGAAGCCCATAGCTAACATGATATTCAGTGGTAAAAAGCATTTTCCTCTAAGATCAGGAACAAGATAAGGATGCCCACTCTTGCCACTTTTATTCAACATAGTATTGGACGTCCTAGCCACAGCAATCAGACAAGAAAAAGAAATAAAAGGAATCCAAATTTGAAAGGAAAAAGTAGGACTGTCACTGTTTGCAAATGACATGATACTATACATAGAAAATCTCAAAGACACCACCAAAAAGCTCATCAATGAATTTGGAAAAGTTGCAAGATGCAAAATTACTGTACAGAAATCGGTTGCATATCTATACACTAATAACGAACTATTGTAAAGAGAAATTAAGGAAACAATCCCATTTTCCATCACATCAAAAAGCATAAAATACCTAAGTATAAATCCACGTAAGGAGTTAGAAGACCTATACCTAGAAAACTTTAAGACACTGATGAAAGAAATTGAAGATGATGCAAATAGATGGAAAGATATATATGTTGTGCATTGATTGGAAGAATTCATAGTTAAAATGACCATATTCTCCAAGGCAATCTACAGATTCAATGCAATCCCTATCAAAATACCAATGACATTTTTTCAAAAACTAGAACAAATAATTTAAAAATATTTATGGAAACACAAAACACCCAGAATAGTGAAAACAATCTTGAGAAAGAAGAATAAAGCTGGAGGAATCAGGCTCCTGGACTTCAGACTATACTGCAAAGCTACATTTATCAAAACAGTATGGTACTGGCACAGAAACAGACACATAGATCAATGGAACAGAGTAGATAGTTCAGAAATAAAGCAAGAACTTATGGTCAATTAATCTACATCAAAGGAGGCAAGAATATACAATGGGGAAAAGCTAGTCTTTTTAATCAGTGGTGTTTGGAAAACTGGACAGCTACATTTAAAAGCATGAAATTAGAACATTTTCTCATACCATATGCAAAAATAAACTCAAAATGGAACAAAGACCTACATGTAAGACTGGAAAGTATAAAACTACTGGAAGAAAACATAGGCAGAACACTTTTTGACATAAATCATAGCAATATTTTTTTGAACCTGTCTCCTAAGGCAAAGGAAACAAAAGTAAAAATAAACAAATAGGACCTAATTAAACTGAAAAGCTTTTGCATAACAAAGGAATCCATTTGCAAAACAAAAACACAACCTACTGAATGGGTGAAAATATTTGCAAATGATGCAACCAACAAGGGGTTACTTAATATCCAAAATATATAAACACCTTATACAACTCAATACCAAAAAAAGAACCTGGTTAGAAAATGCGCAGAAGACCTGAACAGATATTTTTCCTAAGAAGACATGTAGATGGGTAACAGGGACATGAAAAGATGCTCAGCATTGCTAATGATCAGAGAAATGCCAATCAAAGCCACAGTGAGATATCACCTCACACTTGTCAGAACGCTGTCATCAAAAAGACCACAAATAACAAGTGTTGGTGAGGATGTGGAGGAAAGGGAATCATTATACACTGTTGGTGGGAATGTAAATTGGTGTAGCCACTGTGGAAAACAGTATGGACATTCCTCATAAAACTAAAAATGGGACTACCACATGATCTAGCAATTCCACTCTTGGGTATATATACAAAGACATAAAAATGCTTTAAGGTAGGCATTATTAACTCCCATGTAATACATGAAGAAACTGAGTCTTGGAGAGGTTAAGTCTCTCAGCTGGTAAATAGCTTAGCTGGAATTTGAACCAAACTTAACCTTGGCTTACTTTTTTTTTTTTTTTTTTTTTTGTGGCACGCGGGCCTCTCACTGTTGTGGCCTCTTCCGTTGCAGAGCACAGGCTCCGGACGCGCAGGCTCAGCGGCCATGGCTCACGGGCCCAGCCGCTCCACGGCATGTGGGATCTTCCCAGACCAGGTCACGAACCTGTGTCCCCTGCATCGGCAGGCGGACTCTCAACCACTGCGCCACCAGGGAGGCCCAACCTTGGCTTACTTTTAACTTTTAACTTACTTTTACTTTTAACCACGTTGCACTTCCTTCCTTCAAGTGAAAAATCTATGAGTTAATACTTTTCCCTGTAAATTTTTATTTGGCTATTTATAAATAATTTATGTATCTATGAAACTTTTTAATGACTTTGTGGGAAAATGTATAAGGAAGTTATAGGATTTTGAAATGTTTTGGAAGTATGAATGAGTTAAATTTATCCTATTTCTGTCATGTGTATATGTATAAAATTACACAACTTCAGGGCTGTACAGGAACTTTTGGGACCAGTTATAGTGTTTGACCAACCTTATTTTATTTTACATGTGAGAAGACTGAGACCCAAAAGAGGTTAAGTGGTTGTCTGCAGCTTTGTATTTTCATTTCTCTGGTCTCTGCTACTAACTCCTTTGTGACATTAGGCATATCCTTAAATGATCCTGGTCTCAGTTTCTTTGTGTGTAAAATAAGAGGTTTGGATGAACCCCCCCAAAAATCTTTCCGTTTTAAAAATCTGTGTTTTTGTCATTGTTTCACTTACCTTTTCAAGTATCCTTTGGGTGAAATTCTTTTATAAGGCGTTAATGAGGCAGGTAGTGGATTCAGGCGTAAAAGCATGGTACAGAGGTTCTGATTATAAGACATGGGAGTGAGAATCTGCTGGCTTTTTGGCTTTTAGATTTTCCTAATAATTGATTTCTTGTTTGGCTTCTTTAGGACATCATATCACTTATTGGCTCCCATAATCTAAACTTGTCTGTTTACCTCATATTTGTCTGTGTTTCCTCTTTAAGCAATATACTCAATTATTTTAATAAAGTGATACATGTTTACTGTAAAAAAAATCAGAAAGTACTCATGAGCACAGGGGTAGAAAATAAGTCATTCATAATCCCAGCATCCAAAGATAATGTTTAATAATTTGAGAGACATTTTTAAAAACAAAAACACAGCTGTGACATCATACAGCACCTCTTCTTATAAACTGCCCCCTCAGCCCCACCCTGGGCAATGTACTGTGGATACTTGCACTGTCTGACCTATTCTCATAGTTTAATTTGGAGAGAATCATGTTCTATGTTTATAACACAATTACAGCATTATACAAATGGTTTCTGTTTTTCCTGTGGTGATTTCTGTAAAGAGGATTTTTTTTTTAAAGGTTAGAGCTATAAATTTTAAATGTTCCTGAGCAGATCCAGCATTTGACTACTTGACCTATTCCTCAGAACAACAGCTTTTGTCATCACCCCCAGGTGGACTGCTGTTCTTGCGTCTCGGTCATCATGCCTTGCTCATATAAACCAAACAAAAGCGCCCCACGAGCAGCATGATTGGGCCACTCCCATAGCTTTTGCTCCAGCCTGAGGCACTCTTAAAACTGTGATCAGAACAGTTCTTCCTAATGCAAATTCTGTTTCTTAATAATCTATGTCTGTAGGGAAGTGTTCCACTGGATGGGTGTACCTGATTTTTAGAAAGAAGAAACAGAAAATGCTGTTGGCATGCAGTGCTTTACTAAAAGAGAAAAGTAACCATTGGCTAATTTCTTAACGTTTATAAGCCTCAGTATTCTGTCTGTAAATTGAGAATTATAATAGTATCGTCTGCCAAGGGTCACTTGAAGATTAAATGAGATAAGGCATTTGAAGTGCTTAAAACTGTGCCTGGCATCAGAATATGTATTCAGTAGTGTTCGTAAAAAAAATTTGTCTCATATTGATTTTAAATGAACTTTAATAACTTTATTCTTATGCAGAAGACTTAACCAATGGCTCATATGATGAAATCCTAAATGCTGAACAACTTCAGAAACTCCTTTACCTGCTTGAGTCTACTGAGGATCCTGTCATTATCGAAAGAGCTTTGGTCACTCTGGGTAACAATGCAGCCTTTTCAGTCAACCAAGTGAGTACCCTAGTCTCTGCAAACACGTTCCTCCTATTCTCACACACCAGCACCAATTGTGACCCTGATAAGTTACTTAACCTCCCAGAGCCTCAGTTTTTTCATCTATATAGTATGGCTATGGATACCTACAGAATAACGTTTACTTCTGAAAAGCACAGCCTAATAGTAATACGAGTAGTAATAGGATTCTAGATCAAGATCCCTATGAAGTTGGTCACTGGCATCCCATTTGTAATAAATGTATCTAATCAACACTTAGCATTGCGTGGCCTTTTTAATTATTTAAAGTTCAGCAGTCCTGCAGTAGAGCAACAAAAGCATCTGACATTTAAGTACATGTTTTACATTGTACACAGGGCTTACGAGGATGGTTCTGATGCAGGTGCTCCCTAGACCACACGCTGACAACCACGGACCAATGTAAATGGCCTCTGCTTCCTCCCCCCACTACCCATGGAGAAAAGTAAAACAGTTTTTGTCATTATTTTCAGCTAATGCCCTTTCTTAACATTGTCATGCATGCACAGTTTTGAATTTATACTTCATTTTAGTCCGTATTTATCCATCATGTCAAGGTTTACTCTAAAGCTCTAGAGATTTATAGGGAGATACAAGGAATATTTGTCTGTTACTCACATTTCAGTTGTAAATGATAGAACCCAACTTAAATTATTTCAAACCAAAAAGGGAAAATATTGAGCTCAGTTAACTTGGACATCCAAGGGTATCATTGGTTTCAGGCACAAGTGTGAATATAGTTCAGGGTTACAGAAAAAATTACCAGACCTTCTCTTTCTCTGTCTTTTGGCTGCTTACCCCTGCTTCTTTTTGTGTTTTGATCTCTGTCTCTCTGGCCACAAAGAGGTTTTCTTCACAGGGATGGAAAGAAAGCCACTGGCCTCTCAAGCCTTCATCATTGTAGCTTATGATCTGAAAGGTGGAGTTGCTCTGCTAGGATAAGTGCCAACCCTTTGGATTGATTGTTGGGCCAAAGCACCCTGGACCATGATTAGCAAGGCCTGGCTCACATGTGCATCCTGCAGCCAAAAACAACAGGGATGGGTGTGAACACAATTGACCAGCAGTCCCACCAGGGACTATATAGGATAGAGGAGGTGTTGTGTCTGCCCCAATAGAAAGAGGGGTGCCAGGCAGACGGAAACAACAGATGGTGACTAGCTTATTAGCATGCCTGTATTGGGGTTATTTCCGATGCCATAGTTTTATATTCCTCTGAAACAAACTGTAGTCAGAGTGAGGGGGTCAGAAGCCACTGGTGAACAAGTACTTCCTTCAGTAATGGGAGTTGGTGTCCCTTGTCATCAATTATAATGCCTTCATCTGCTTTAACAGTACAGTTTTTTTTGTTTTTTTTTTAGAAGGGCTGTTTTCTAGTAACCACACATTCTTTGAAAGAACCTGGAATTGCAGAGGGAAGACTTCTTTATCTCTTTTTCTGATAGAATGGCATGTTTTGGCCTGACAGGAGTCATTTTCAGCTTATTTTTCTTGTGAGGAATGAAAGTTTATGTCTCTTTCAGCATTGGGACAAAGGCACATAGTATTTTAGTGTTGCAGTTGATTGTGAGAAACCTCCAGATTATTTTTCCTCTGAAAATTTGGGCACCATTTCCAAACTGTGTGGAACTTTAATACTTCAAGATGTTAATAAGTTTTCTTCCTCTCCCCCAACTGAAAAATGATCTTCTTTATGGATAAAGTTTATAGAAGTACTATATTCAATACTCCCCTCTCGGAGATTCCAATGCACACGAACATAGGATTGCATCAAAATAAAGAGACGTGTTTAGTTTTGTTATACCCAGAGTTTCTCAAAGTTACTTATCCATGAAAGCTCCCTTTTTTTTAATGGAGCATCTACTAAAATCTTGAGGGATGAGTGTTCCAAAGTATTCATTTTAGTAAAACAATACTGTAGTGTTCTAAATCTTAATGCATTTCCAAATTGGCCTGTAATAGAGATATAACTTATTTCAGAGTAAAATAATTTTGTTTGTAAATTGCTTTGAGATCATTGTAGTAGCTCTTGTAGTAGATATAAATCTTCATTGTATATCTCCATGCTATAGTTTAAATATTACATATATTAATAATTTATTTTCAGTTGGTTTCTTTACCTATAAAATTATGGGTAGTAAACTTTTTTAAAAAATAGGAATTAGAGGTTGTATATGGGAACAGTATTTCCAAAGAGTCATTAGTTTTTATTTGTATTTGTAGATGCAAAGAATATAATGAAGGGGGTGCATTTTGAAGTCATGGTCCTGTTTTTTCCCTCTTAGGTCACGATTCGTGAATTGGGTGGTATTCCAATCATTGGAAGCAAAATCAACAATCCCAACCAGAGTATTAAAGAGAAAGCTTTAAATGCACTGAATAACCTGAGTGTGAATGTTGAAAATCAAATAAAGATAAAGGTAAGTTATCTGAAATCACAAAAGGTAAGGATTTCTGTAAATGAAAGAGAAAAATAACAAAAAGGTAAGTAATGAAATTTTAGTAGGCCATACTTTATAACTTTATAGCCAAGAATTTTTATTTTTTTCCAGCTTTATTGAGATATAATTGACATAAATATTGTATAAGTTTAAGGTATACAACATGATGATTTGATACACATATATATTGCAAAATGATGCCTGCTACTGTATAGCATTGGCAAACACCTCCATCACCTCATAATTACCTGTGCATGCATGTGTGTGTGTGGTGAGAACATCTGAGATCTACTCTGTTAGCAACGTGCAAGTATACAATATAGTATTGTTAACTATAGTCACCTTGCTGTACATTTGACTCCACAACTTATTCACCTGATAACTTTGTCTGCTTTGATCACATCTCCCCATTTCCTTCACCTGAACATTCTCCTCTCTGTTTCTGTGAGTTTGGCTTTTTCAGATCCCACATGTAAATAAGATCATTCATTGTGTGTCTTCTCTGTCAGACTTATTTCACTTAACATAATGCCCTCAAGGTCCATCCATTTTTCACAAATAGCAGGATTTCCTTCTTTTTTATAGTGAATAGTATTCCATTGTATATACACACCACATTTCCTTTATCCATTTGTCCATTGATTGACACTTAGGTTATTTCTATGTCTTGGCTATTGTGACTAACGCTGCAGTGAACATGGGGGTGCAGATGTTGCTTTGAGATAGTGATTTTGTTTTCTTTGGATATATACCCAGAAGTGGGATTACTGGATCATATGGTAGTTCTATTTTTAATTTTTTGAAGAATATCCATACTGGTTTCCATAGTGGCTGCACCAACCACCAACAGTACACAAGGGTTCCTTTTTCTCCACATCCTTGCCAGCACTTGTTACTTCTTGTCTTTTTGATAACCACTCTACTAGGTGTGAGGTGATATCTCACGGTTTTGATTTGCATTTCCCTGGTGATTAGTGACGTTGAACATCTTTTCGTGAACCTATTGACCATTTGTATGTCTTTGGAAACATGTCTGTTCAGGCCCTCTGCTCATTTTTATGGAGACTAAGTCAGAGGAAGGAGGGACCTGAACCAGCCAATAAGAAGTGCAGTGGACTTCTGAATTGGGGGTTCAGTTTAATCCAAGTGTGGTAAAGGAACCAGGCCAAAGTCAGATAACATCAGCAGGAAGACACAATAAATGAGGAAATTATGTTAATTCAACATTTATTGAGCTCCTGCTCTGTGTTAACAGAGTTTAGAAATGAACGTGATTAGCTCTTGTTTTAAGAAAGCTAGAAGGAGGGATGAGGCAAGTCCACAGATAGTTGTAATTCAAGGCAGAACATGATGAAATACTTTAAGGAAAAATACAAGTAAAATATCGTAGAATACACAGAAAGGAGAGATTTCATTCAGAGGTTTCTGTAAAAGGTAGAGCCCAAGATGGCTCTTAAGACTGTCTAAGCTTTCTACGGGCAGAGTTGGGGAAGGAGGGAATCACAAGAGAAAGGAACAAGGTGAGGTGGGCACGGCTCCATGAATAACTGAGCTGGCCCATTTGGTAATCTTGTTGCTAGAACTGAAATGGAGAAAAGATTCAGAGCTAACAAGGATGTAAATGCTCAGCACATTTTAGGAAATGCTTTGAAAGACATGAGCATCCTGTGAAAATACATGATTTATAATGATTCTAAGGAAATGCCATTTTTTTAAAGGATGGACGTATAATGAAATGGTGACCGAGGACAGCCAAATTGACTTGTAAATATCATTTAGATCTTGAAACCAGATTAAAATTGTAATCTCTCTTTGCTTTACTGCCATTAGGTAACATGAATACTTTTGGATATTTTTAAAAGTTAATACTGGCTTATGGGACAGTTGGTAATTCCTTAGCATTTTATATAAGGGAATTTTTCTTACCAATTAGAATGTTTGGTGGAGTTCAGACTTAGGTGAATACCAATTATTTGTGAGACATAATTTTTCCAAGCTGGAGAGATCATGGCCAAACAGAAAATAGAGTTTCAGAAAAATTTCCATCACCCTGGGTTTAGTTTAGATCTGTCATGCGTGAAATAGGAGTACTACTGGCATTGCATTACTTTTTGCCAGTGGCGGTTTACAATATTATGAAGGAGTAGTTCATATACATATACCTCGGTAAATAAGAACGTTGGGCCAAATAGAGTTTGCCTCTGCTTAATTTTTTTTTAATTAATTTATTTATTTTTGGCTGTGTTGGGTCTTAGTTGCTGTGCGCAGGCTTTTCTCTAGTTGCTGTGAGCGGGGGCTACACTTTGTTGCAGTGCGCAGGCTTCTCATTGTTGAGGCTTCTCTTGTTGCGGAGCACGGGCTCTAGGTGCGCGGGCTTCAATAGTTGTGGCACGTGAGCTCAGTAGTTGTGGTGCGTGGGCTCTAGAGCGCAGGCTCAGTAGTTGTGGCGCACAGGCTTAGTTGCTCCGCGGCATGTGGGATCTTCCTGGACCAGGGCTTGAACCCGTGTCCCTTGCATTGGCAGGCAGATTCTTAACCACTGCGCCACCAGGGAAGCCTTCTGCTTACTTTTGAAGGAAAGAACTCTAAAGAAAAGTTCTATCTGACTTTGTGTCTCCCCCATTCTTTACTTCTAACATGATATAACCCCTAGATCCTACTGTTCAGGTACTTAACCATGGTACAAAATGGCCCTACAGGTCTTCTTCCTCATCCAAGTGTGCCCAGACACAGAAAGGCAGACTGGGTTGGGAGGCCCCCCACTGGTGTTGGGAGCATGGTCTCTGGGGTTGGACACTGCTCCACCAGCTCGTTACATTGGGCAGGGGGTCCAAGCTCCTGGAAGAGTTTAAAGTCCTTGTCAGTAAAATGGCCATAATAACACTGCGTCATTAGAGTTGTCTCAGGGCTGAAGTGAGGTATATCTGTAAAATGCTCCATGCCTCCCATTAACAAGGGCAGCTTAAAAAAAAAAAGTCACCCAAGTTTGAGGGCAGGATACAAATACCATCTTTCCTAAGGAGCAAGTCTCATCCTGAACAATCACCCTGTTCTGCTGTGCAGAAAAGTTACGGTTCAATAGCAAAATTTTGGAGATCCTAAGACGCTCACTTTTTCCCCGCCTTCAGGTGTACGTCAGTCAAGTCTGTGAGGATGTCTTCTCCGGCCCCCTGAACTCCGCTGTGCAGCTGGCCGGACTGAGGTTGTTAACAAACATGACAGTGACCAATGACCACCAGCACATGCTTAGCAGTTACATTACAGACCTGTTCCACTTGTTGCTCACGGGAAATGGAAGCACCAAGGTATGAAGGAAGTGGTTGATCATTACTTGCAGTACAAACAGCTGTTGCGTCCAGTTTATTAAGATTGGAATTCAGTTTACAGGTCACCCGTCTTAAGTTGATACTCCTCAAGAAAGTTCAAAGTTTACTAAAAACCCTTACATGGGCGCAAGAAAGTATATTATTTTTATACCCTAATATTGAATTTCAAAGTTAACTTGTGAAAATAATCTGTTGTTTCACTTATCAATAGATGGGTATTCATTTGGTTTTCTGAAAATCAGTTTACCTTTTACTGAAGTGAAATAGCTAGCTTACCCGCACCAGATACAGGACCATTGTGATTCAAAGAAGTCTTTGAGTGACAGTGCTGGGTAATTGAGTTTTTTGCTTACCTCAGGGTTAACAGAACTTTTTTTTTGATTCGACCATTGTGTGTTGTAAAATCTTTCTGAAACTTATACTTCTCAGTGCTCCACTTTGACCTGTTATGTATCAATAGATGTAGGAGGCAACAGAGTTGGAGCTGAATTAACTGGGACACCCTGTGAAAACTGCTTGAGTAAACCCCTCATATTGGTGTGCATTCGTATCAAGCACCACTTTTCAAGAAATACCATGAAAACAGAAGGTAGAGTAATCAAAGGCTCTAATTAGTTGAGTCAGTTGTTCATCAGTGTTTTACGTATTGGTCTGTGTTCTCTGGCACAGTTGAAAAAAATGCATGAGCATGTTAGAGGGACTAAATGTGAAGCCAAACTCCAGATAGTCAAGTTCACTGAAGTTACTTCTGAGGTTATCAAATTGTGATTACAGCAGAGCCTTACTATAGTCCTTTTAAAATTTGTTCTGAGATGTTTTTATATGGGCTTTCCACATTTCAGGTAGCCAGATTTACTTAGATCTGGTCCAAGATGTACCCGAAGGCATTCAAAATTAAATGTAATAATCGTATCAGCAATATTTTAGGAATAATGCTCCATCCATAGGCAATTTCCAAATGCACACACCTGTGAACACCCTCTCTCCAGGGGAGCAAGGTAACTTCCAGCCCTTGACCCCATAGAAACTGCATTCTCTCTACCCCATGGCATTGGAGCTGTTGGAAACTCTTCTGTTTCTCTCTGCAGCTACTTTGCCCAAAACCTCAGAGGCACGTTGTGTTCAGAGCCAAGTACCTCTGGCCTTGGGGCTGTATATATCTGTCGCAGAGATGGTTTATATTTTATGACATTTTGAAAGTGACTCACACCACAATACTATGTTCATTTTTGGTTGGTTTTGTTTTTCCACTACATTGCCTAGCAGGTATATCTGGGATAGAAAATTTGCTTTTTTCGTCTGTCTGGGAGGCTAACCACCAGTTGTTTCTCCATTAAACAATGACTTTAGGGACTTCCCTGGCAGTCCAGTGGTTAAGACTTCGCCTTCCAATGCAGGGGGCGCGGGTTCAATCCCTGGTCGGGGCCGCTTGGCCAAAAATCCAAAACATAAAACAGAAGAAATATTGTAACAAATTCAATAAAGACTTAAAAAATGGTCCACCTCAAAAAAGTCTTTTTAAAAAAATGAGTTTAAAGTTGCAACTTGCAAATGAACTTTTGGATAATGATCCATTTGTAAGTGGAAAAATGTATCCATTTTAGATATTTTCTTAGTAAAAAACCACCAACATGAATTTTTTAAATCTTTATTTTTAATAAGTGATCTCACTCTACTATAATAACCTCTTGGGTTCAACACTGATTCATAACTAAATACGAATAGTAGAACGTGAATTTAAATAAACCTTGTGTTTGCTACATCTGCCATGAGAACAAAAGTAAGTAATGGCTTAAAAGCAATGTCCTAGAGCCACCACCAGATGGCATATGTGACACAAGAAAAAGTTACGGTTCAGTAGGACAGACCGTGGTTTCAAAACAAAATCATATACGTTAACTGTTTAATCTGTAGTTGTACTCTAACTTTATATATATATTTTTTCACCTTTAACACACGAGACGTAAACCCAGGTCACGAGTCTAAAAGCGGGCGGCTGATTTCTATCTTTCTATCTTTATACTTTTTATTTTATATTGGAGTATTGTTGAGTTACAATGTTGTGTTAGTTTCAGGTGTACAGCAAAGTGATTCAGGTATACATATACATATTATTTTTCAAATTCTTTTCCCATTTAGATAAATACAAAATATTGAATAGAATTACCCGAGCTATAGAGTAAGTCCTTCATGGTTATCTAGTTTAAATAGTGTTTATATGTTAAACCAAAACTCCTAATTTATCCCTCCCAACACTATTCCCCGGTGGTCACCCTAAGTTTGTTTTTGAAGACTGTCTGTTCCTGTTTTGTAAATTAGTTCATTTGTATCATTTTTTTTTTTTAGATTCCACATACAAGCGATATCATATGATGTTTGTCTTTCTCTGTCTGATTGACTTAACTTAGTATGATCATATCCAGGTCCATTCACGTTGCTACAAATGGCATTATTTCATTTTTTTAAGGCTGAGTAATATTTCCTTATATATGTACCACATCTTCTTTATCCATCCACCTGTCGATGGACATTTTAGTTGCTTCCATGTCTGGGCTAGTGTAAGTAGCCCCGCAAGGAAGGTTGGGGTGTATGTGTCTTTTTGAATTATGGTTTTCTCCGGATATACGCCTAGGAGTGGGATTGCCAGATCATATGGCAGCTGTTTTTGGTTTCTTAAGGAACCTCCCTACTCTCCTCCATAGTGGCAGTCACCAATTTACATTCCCACCGACAGTGTAGGAGGGTTCCCTTTTCTCCATGCCCTCTCCAGTATTTATTGTTTGTAGACTTTTGGATGATGACCATTCTGACTGGTACCCCTTGATAACCCCTCGTGCTTTTTTTTTTTTTCTATTGGAGTATAATTGCTTTACAATATTGTGTTAGTTTCTCCTGTACAGTGAAGTGAATCAGCTGTATGTATACCTATATCCCCTCCCTTTTGGTCCTCCCTCCCATCCGCCCATTCCACCCATCTAGGTCGTGTCAGAGCACCGAGGTTAACTTCCTGTTTTATAGCAGGTACCTGCTGGCTCTCTATTTCATGCGTGGTGGTATATGTCGGTACTGATCTCCCAATTCATCCCACCCTCCGCTTCCCCCACCCCGTGTCCACATGTTCTTTCTCTACGTCTGCATCTCTATTCCTGCCCTGCAAATACGTTAATGTGTACCATTTTCTATCTTCTAAGTATATGCATTAATATATAGTGCCTGTTACCAATTTACATTCCCACTGATAGTGTAAGAGGGTTCCTTTTTCTCCATGTGCTCTCCAGTGTTTATTGTTTGTAGATTTAAAGATGGACATTCTGACTGATGGGACATGATGCCTCATTTTACTTTTTATTTGCATTTCTCTAGAAATAAGTGATGTTGAGCATCTTTTTTGTTCCTCTTGGCCACATGTATGTCTGCTTTGGAGAAATGTTTATTTAGGTCTTCTCATTGTTTGATTGGGTTATTTTTTTATATTGAGCTTCATGAGCTCTTTGTATATTTTGGAAATTAACCCCTGTTGGTCACATCATTTGCAAGTATCTTCTCCCATCCTGTAGGTTGTCTCATCGTTTTTATGGTTTCTTTTGCTGTGCAGTACCCTCCTGCACTCTTTGAAATTTATCATGAACATGTATTAATTTTATTTAAAAGTTTTAAATGATCAAAACAGTAAAAGTAGGGAAAGTCATCTTTCTACTTAACAAATTAATATGTACAGTGTGATCAAAGGAATGTGTATTAGGATATGTATATGAGAAAATACCAAACTTAATATCATTTCTAGTCATGGAAATGTGAATTTCCTTTTCCTTTTCTGTAAAAAACAATGTTCTATAGTAAACACATAATGCCTTTGTAATTCGAAAAAGGTTTATATAATAATATCCGGGTCTCTTCCAGGAAGTAATGGAGGGCACATTTGTCACTTTTTCCTGATTTCAGTCTGCTCTCCCTGCTCCTCACTTTCTGCAATTTCAAGTATCTTGTAGAAAGTATACTTTTACATGACTCGCATTTTTTTTTTGGCTGCGTTGGGTCTTCATTGCTGCGCGCGGACTTTCTCTAGTTGCGGCGAGCCGGGTTACTTGTCGTTGCGGTGCGTGGGCTTCTCATCACGGTGGCTTCTCTTGTTGCAGAGCGTGGGCTCTAGAGCGCAGGCTCAGTAGTTGTGGCGCACGGGCTTAATTGCTCCGCGGCATGTGGGATCTTCTCGGACCAGGGCTCGAACCCGTGTCCCCCACACTGGCAGCTGGATTCATTTTTTTTGAATGTTTTCATTACTGACTTTTCAGTTATAAGTGATGAGTTCTGATATTTTGGCTAGTCAGCTATAACATTTGCTTATTTATGTCACTGCGTAAATGACTGTACAGTTTTTCACATAGAAACGATAAGCTCCAAGAATCATAGAAACCTAGTATAAAGCACCATATTGTTAGTCTTCATAACCAAACTATCCCCAAATTTTCATACTTGAAGTAGGAACCGGTTTGAGAGATTCGTTTTTTTGTTCTAAAGATCATATTTCACTTAACAGTAATCGTAATAAAGATTGATTATGTAACACATGTTAAACTTACTCTGTGTTAGGTATTTCTGTGCGCCAGGGGTGGGTAGCTAAGATGTTCATTATTTTCTTCCTGTCTCCCTATCAGTATAATTGGAAAACTAAGGTTTTAAATAAGAGGAGTTGAGAAAGCTTCGTGGAATGGAGAAAATTTGAGTCAGACGTTGAAGAATAGGCAGGACTTTAAAATGTGGACTTGGTTGGGGGACAGCATGCCAGGGAGAGAAAACCCACGCTTGCTAGTCTGAAATAAACCAATGTTCTTATTTCAGGTTCAAGTTTTAAAACTGCTTTTGAATTTGTCGGAAAATCCAGCCATGACAGATGGACTCCTTGGTGCCAAAGTAAGTTCAGTAGCTTACATATTTGTTTTGTCCATACAAATATATAGATTTGGACAGACAGATCTGGAAGGAAAGGACTTACCTCAAACATTAACAGGGATTATCTCTGAGGAGCAATATTAGAGGTGGGGTTTTTTTTTGGTTCTTTTTGCTGATATGAATTTCCTAAAATTTCTGTAATGAACGTATTTTACTTTTAAAAATCATTTTGAAAAGTTCTCCCTAGCAATAATTATATTTTTTCTGTCTCTGTCCAATTTGGGGTACTTATATATCATCACGTTTTATATTTGACCTGCTTATGGTTCAGTGTTAGTATCCACTGACACACTAGTATTTATGGAGGCCGCAGTATGTGCCTGATGCCAGGCTGAGTGCCAGGATACACCAGTGAGTACAGCATTACCTGGTGCTTGTCCTCGTGAGCTTACAGTCTAGGGAGAGTATGTAAGAAAGGAGCAGTTAAAAGCTGTGGTATTTTGAAGGAAGCATAGGTTAGTGCTGTGGTAGAATGGACCTCAAGTCCTAGAAAAGGGACCCTGTCATATTCATCTGCTCAGCCCTATGCCCTGAACACTGTGTTTGGTGAATTAATGAGTTTCCATGATGACTGTATATGATGGATCTTAAAGAGGAAATGGGTGTTTTTCCAAATGACTACATTCTAGGATTCCAAGGAAATAGTATTTTTTAGCTAAAACACAAAACCTCTTTTTCCCATTAGTATATGACATAGGAGTGCTTAAGATTTTACACATTTACGTTACGCAGTCTTAGGGATAGTTTTCTATGACAAGATTTTTTTAATGCATTTACTACAGCTTTAAAATGTGAACATACACATGGAAAATGTTTTCGTATATTTTTTAATCTTCACTGTTTCCTACTTCAGGTGGATTCATCATTCCTTTCCCTTTATGATGGCCATGTAGCAAAGGAGATTCTTCTTCGAGTTCTCACACTGTTCCAGAATATAACTACCTGCCTCGAAAAGGAAGGCCGTTTAGCTATTCAGCCAACTTTCACTGAAGGTTCACTATTTTACCTGTTATATGGAGAAGAATGTGCCCAGAAAATGAGAGCTTTAGTTTATCACCATGATGCAGATGTGAAGGAAAAGGTAACAATGATACCAAAATTCTAACTGGTTGGTCATATTTTTCCAAAGAGTAATGCAGTCTAGAAATAATACACATAAACTTCTCATTTCTTACAAAGGGATTCTTTCAACTGCTTGAATTTAAACAAACAGTAAATATCACCTTCCATCATTAACACAGCTACAACTTGCCCTGGTCTTGGACCATTTTATTGATACCAAAATAAGAGCTTGTTCTGAAACCATTTTGTTTTTATTTTGCTTTTTGCTAAGCTACTTCAGTTATCCTCTACACGGAGTGACAGTGACCTTTTTATGTGTAAGCTACCCTTCCACTGTTGGCAGTGATTTGCAGTTATGCATCTGGGACAGCAGCAGTATGTTTCATAAGCGCCCTAGGAAGGACCCGAGATAGAGCCCATACTCCCAAGGCCACCTGCCACTCTTTCAGGTCTGTTCTAGAATCTATTCTACTCTATGTAAACTGTTAGAAATGTTTCCTAGTACTCACCCACTCCCATTCAGTTTGATGTGTATAACATACTGGATCAATCAAAATCCATCCAAAGGCAAAGGCAATTGGTTAAATCAGTTATATAGTCTTTAAAGAGAATGAAGCAAGTCTGAATGTGCTGATGTGGAAAGACATCCATGAAATATGGTTGTTTTTCAAAATACATGTTGTAGAAAAATATGACCCCATTTGTGGTTTTTTTTTAATCAAAAAATTTATGCTTATATATGGACAGAACACTTCTTTCATATATAGGCATTTTGGTATATATATCTAGAATGAAAGCCACACTCCTGAGAATAGGATTAGGGAGTGAGAAAATGATTTTTTATGTACACTTTCTAGTGTTTGGGCATAAATTTCATAATTTTTTTAAATAAAGAAGAAAAATGTCACAGGATTATTTTCTCCCCTTAATTTAAAGAAGTTTTATTCATTAATTTTCACCCATATTTTACATGATTAAAATTACAAGATATGAAAACTTCTCAGCAGTTTTTAATAGTATTTTTATCCCATAAGCTACTCTAACAATTTATTGATTGATATATTTGAATTCAGCCAGGTTCCCCCCTCCAGGTTTTGTAATATTCAAGTTCATAACCACCACCATGCTTAGTTATTAAGTAAATCAATTTGTAAGCAGAAGCTTTCCTAGTCATGTATTTAAGGCAAAGCTTTAAGAGAAGAGTACTTTAAATTTCATTTGTAAATACATAAATTTCCATAGGAAGTCACAAATCCTCAAACAGAAAAATGTGCTTTATCAGGGTTATCCTGATACAGAAATGAAACTTGGGAGACATATTTTTACAGTAGAAACATGATGAAAATTCTAAATTAGCTACAGCAGTAATAATGTACATTATGAAGGCTAAGGATCATTTATCAAGTGATGCAAACATAAGTGTTAACTCCCTGAAAGGCACATTTCTTTATAACAATTTTGCTTAATCTTCCTCCTTGTTTACTGAAAATATATTCAAAATGTACACACATTAAAACAAAGATTTGATTTCAATGTGCGGTAGCAGCATTGGATTCTAAAACACCCTATCTTCTTTTCCTCTATTATTAGTCTGAACAAATAACGTTTCCTGGAAATCAGAGCATTGAGTTTGAAATGTCAAAAATGCTAGAGAAAAGGGGGGAGTCATCTAGAAAGAATTCCACAGGGAAAGTGCACAGTTCGATCTTTACCTATGTAGGTCATGGCACATCTTACCTTTTTTAGGTGGGCTTTCTCCTAATTGATGGTCCCACCCTCCTGGGCAGTGAGTTTCAAAGTGTTCTTCAGTTATCACGGGAGAAAGGGATTTCAATAAAATCATACATGTTGGTATGGATGCTGGCTAATCAAAGAGGAAAATGAAATTGACTTAGAGGATGAGACAATGAAAAGGTATTATGACATGTATTAGACTGAATGGAGGGAACAGAGTGGATTAGTCTCTTCAAAATTTGTTTTTGGGCTTCCCTGGTGGCGCAGTGGTAGAGAGTCTGCCTGCCGATGCAGGGGACACGGGTTCGTGCCCCGGTCCGGGAAGATCCCACATGCCACGGAGCGGCTCGGCCCGTGAGCCATGGCCGCTGAGCCTGCGCGTCCGGAGCCTGTGCTCCGCAACGGCAGAGGCCACAACAGTGAGAGGCCCGCGTACCGCAAAAAAAAAAAAAAAAAAAAATTTGTTTTTGCTTTGTACATAAAACCCTTCAAAATGTGGATAGGAGAGATGAAGCTCAGTGTACTTCCTAATGAACAAAATGTCAAAGTGGAAAGAATGCAAATGGTCATAAAACTTACAGCTTGGAGGAAGCCTAGAAAATGAGGCAGGCCCAATTAAGTGGAACTTAGAACATAATTTAAAGTGCCTGGGGACCCCCTCAGTTAAACAGTACATGTGAATACAAAATTAACATTAAGGCCACTCAAGGAGAAGAAATAATTAAGCAAGATGCGCTTGGCTTGCTTCATAGAGCAGAGGTAAGAGATGAATTTTCCGTCTGGCGTGCAACAGCAAGGAAGGTAACCACAGAACTCTGGCTAGTATTAGGGCAACCTGTGCCAAAGCTAATCCACCATAAGCCAACATCTTGATTCCCATCTGTTTGCTAAATGTTCCTTTGGAGTGAAAAAGTGGTTGGTTTTTTCCTGAAAGTTTACGGGGAAATTTTTTGTGCTTTAGTGCCCACAAATCATATACATTCACTTATATTACATATACATTTCCCCTTGACAGATTTGCATCTTTGTAGATAAAAATGCTAAATTTTGATAAATATTATTTACATTTATCTTGGCTATTATTCTCCAAATTTACAAAATGTGGGAGACAAAGTTGTTAGTCCTCAATGTTTAGTGTCCTTATATGCTTGAATATATATTATCAAAAGCATTATTAGCCTATTTTCCACTTTCAAATCTACCTATCTGTATTAGGCAGTGATATCTGAAGATATCATTTTCTCCCTTATATTTTCCAAGTGTTTTTTTAAAAAAAAGACTTATTTATTCTTCACAGTTTTGGGAGGTAGGTGAAAATCATCCTCTTGTTGCACGTGAGGACACTGAGGCACACTGAGCTTAGGTGACAGAGAATCCAAGGCAGAAGCAGGATTAAAAGTCAGATTAAGTGGCTAACATGCATATATATACGTGAAAATAAATTACAGGGCACTACCTGGGTAGCATTTGGTGTGAATAAAGTTCATTTCACTGAGGCTGGATTGGGAAGACAGAATAGGCCTCTAATCAGCTCTCTCATTTAGGAAGGTTCAGAGTAATGGAGTGCGGGTAGAGCCTGTCTAGGACTAAAACTCAGGGCAGTGGACTCCCAGAATCACTGTCTTTTTTTTTAACCACTAATATTCCACACTGGCTTAATAAAAGTAGAACCGTGCTTAAGGATCGTGTAATATAAAAATATAAGAGAATCATGTAAAACAGAAAATATTTATAAAGCTCACTGACATACTGGGGTTTGAGCTAAGAAACCAGAAAAAATAATGAGTATATATAGAGAGAGAAAGAGAGAGAAGATGGAATATGGAAAGAATAAAATTTAACTCAAAGTATATGGTCTATTAACATTTAATATCTGCATTATCTTTGTAAATTATTTCCTTGCAGCTGTATTTGTGCTGAGCAGGTCTGACTTTTAGATTAAAAATAAAACATTTTCTCATAACCACACTTCCCCTTCCTCTGCCCAGCTCAGAGGGCTTTTGATTTGGGGAGGGGGATTGTAGGTATGCCACAGAGTATATTATTCCTCTCTTTTAAAAAAATGGTAACTTAGCCCAAACTCCTATGTTTTTATGTTTAAAAAAATAAATCTCTTAACATTTGGCATATAACCATGTGGGGAATCAATGTCATCATTTGCTCTACCATGACTGTAAGAAATATGTTTCTGTGTGCAGACCTGTGAGAAAATCTAGGTAGGTAGACAGCCTTGACTTACCATGCAGAAGGCCCCTAAGAATAGAAAAACAGAAATGAGTTTTTAAAATCAGTTTTTCATAATCTCAAAACTCTACCACTAAAGTAGAATGCTTTAGTAAAAAAAATTCCATTGCAATGTTTATGTCACTGAGACATGACCTAAAATCCACATTAGCCTTCATTATTTAAATGACCCACCTCTGAACTCTTCTCTGTTTATAAGAACTGGCAATCATATTAGGAAGCAGGTTACAACATAGAACACAAACCTGCAGAAGTTGTTTCCAAATGTAAAAAATCGTAATATTCATGAATTTCTTAGTCCTTTTAGATTTATATCCGATGATGCCTTTTTCATTAAAAGCTCCTGTGCTCATATTTACTCAGAGTTGTCATCATCACCATTAAGGTATCTTGACTCTCCATGCTTCAAGACAAAAAAATCTTCAGTCTTAAGTCCATATCTTTCTAGAGCCTCACTCAGTTTCACTGGAGGTTCTAAGTAATGCTGGCCAAGGGCAGAGAGAAACAAAAATGGAAAAAGATTAAGCATACACATATATTTGGGGGGATATGTCAAACAAGAGTTCAAACTAAAATAACCAACACAGCCTACTTAAAGTAATGCTCTTCCTTTTCACTGAAGCATTAGCAAATGAGTCAATCATACTTTCTAATATAGAATCATTAAGCCAATAGAAATGTCATATTTATCAATCTGTTAACACCATGCATGTCAAATTTGGCCAACTTAGATTGAGCATTATTAGACTGCATGAACTCTGATCACTATTTCCCTACATGAAATCCCAGTCTAAATGGAATCAATGCTAAAGAATTAAGTGTTAACCAATAGTTTGGGAGAACAGAGAAACTTAGATTATAAGGAAGAGTATGTGTGTACAAGCAAACGCTAGAGAAAATATTTTTGGCTGAAGAAGGGTTGTCATCCCCAAACCCCAACCAAATACTGATTCTGTAGTCTATGGATTGAAGAGGGGCCTGAGGAAGAGATTTAACAGGTGGAGTTACCTTTTGTTTCCTCACCTTTTCATAACTCAAAAAAAAAAAGACAGCACACTGTTGAAGAATGTTTCAACATACTCAAATGTTTACCAAATAAACTGAAACCACTTGAACATGTGTTATAGTTAAAGAAAGCAAAAGGTATAAAAGAAATCATTTCACCAGTTATTTCTCTTTTGAGCTAAATATTTACAGTGTATAGTAGCTATTTTTACAGCGAATAAAGGAAAAAAACACGTATTACACAAAGGGTTTTTTCCCCAATTTCAATTAGAAAAGCTATAAAATGTTAAAATTAAAGCAGAAATAAAAATCAAACAGTCTCTACTCTGATCACTGGTGGTAAGTCTGCTTCTACCCTCCATGCAGCAATGGCTGGTGAGCACCCAGAGAGCAGCCAGGTCAGTAAACTAATAAAAACCCTTGCCTTCCTAGAGCTTTCATCCCAATACAGAGACAGATAAGAAATGAATAAAGAAAACAGTATCTGAGTGGGTGACATGTTCTGGGTAGAACATAGTTGGTAAGTGTCGGGGGTGGAGGTTTAATTTTAAATACAACCATCTAAGAAGTCCCCTTGGAGATGGCAACTTGAACAAAGACCTGAGGGAGCAGACTGCACCAGGCTTTGTAGGCAGCTGTGAGGGCTGTGGCTTTGACGGGGAGTGTGATGGAAAGCTGCAGGTCCTTCTGGCACAGGAGGGTCACAATCTGATCTAAGGGGTAAAGGCTGCTGCCCTCTGCAGCGTTGAGAACAGACTGTAAGGGGCAGTGTGGCATCAGTGACGGGGGTAAGAGGTACTCAAAGTCTAAATACAATCTAAAGGATGAGCTGACTGCGTATGGGGAAAAGCTGGAGGGAGGATATGAGAGAAAGAGAGTAAAGGGTTTGGCCTGAGGAACTGGAAGGAGGGTGTTGCCATTTACTGAGATTAAGAGAAATGATTTTGAGAGAAGATCAGGAAGTTTGGTTTTAGACTGAAGTTTTGGGTACCTGATGGGCATCCAAGTGGAGAAGTCAGGTAGGCAGCTGGATACATAAACATGGATTGTAGGGGGAAACCTGGGCTAGAGAGGTACAGTGGGTAGATGGTGTTTAAAGCCGTAAGACTAATGAGATGCCCAAGGGAGTCACCAACTAGAGAAGAAATGGGGCCCCTGGACTGAGTCCTAAGGCACTCCCTGCTGACGAGGAACTAGCAGCAGAGAGTAGGAAGGGCCAGCCAGTGATGTACTAGGAAAACCAGGCAAGTCTTCTGTGGCTTCAGATGTACACATTGCTAACAGTTACTGGCCACACGTGGGTCTTTTCTCCCCGCTTGCTCACTTCTAGGTTTATGGCTACATTTAGAGGGTCAGGGATGCCTTCCCACTGACTTCGGAGTAACTGAGGTTAACTGTGCATTAGTTACCCCGTATTCCTAGAGAGAGCCACTTATTAATGGGTTAGTTGACAACAGGAATCCACTTTTAGTCTTTTTTATGCATATAGGAGATTGCTAATATATCCCCCATGAGATTTAACTGTAAATAATAGCCTAAGTCAAGAAGCTTCCCTTGCAAAATTGTTTTTAAGAGATTTCAAAATGATGAAATTCTTTCCCAATGAAAAATAATTTTCTGTTAAATTTTTTCTCCCCTGTGCTCTCTCTGCAAGTCTTGGCCAACAATACACTTACACAATTGCCCTACACTAATAATGTCTTTCCTAGACTGTAACTTCAGTTATAAGCTATAATTTAGTTTGGATTTTGATGTTGCAGTATCCTTCTGCTTCAACCATCTAGAAGGGAGCTCTAGAAGTAGGCAAGAAAGCCTCTGAGTGACTGATAGCTATCTCTTAGTACAAGCACATTAATCCTGCAGGGAAGGTAAAAATGCCCAGTAGCCATGGGACCAAACAATATGTATACAGCAAGGTAGTAGGTTACACATATATACCATGGAATATTAGCCATAAAAAGGAACAAAACTGAGTCATCTGTAGTGATGTGGATGGCCCTGGAGTCTGTCATACAGAGTAAAAGTAAGTCACAAAGAAAAACAAATACCATGTATTAACGCATATATATGTAAACTAGAAAAACGGTAATGATGAAACTAGTGGTGGGGCAGGACTAAAGACGCAGATGTAGAGAACGGACTTGTGGACACAGTGGGGGAAGGGGAGGTGGGACGAATTGAGAGAGAAGCATTGACATACATACACTACACCATGTGTAAAATAGACAGCTAGTGGGAAGCAGTTGCATAGCACAGGGAGATCAGCTCGGTGCTTTGTGACCACCTAGGGGGGTGGGATGGCGAGGGGATATAGGTATGCATATACCTGTGCAGCAGAAACTAACACAACACTGTAAAGCAATTTTAATCCAATAAAGATGTGGGAAAAGAAAAAGAGTAAGTGGTGAAAGCAGAAGCTCCCAGCAGTGTGGACCCATTAAGGGCCAGGCAACCAGCCCCAGACAGCTCATACATTCCCTTTCAAAGGGGCCACTGTTTTATGATCTACTCCAACAGAAGAGACTCAAAATAAAGACCCTGGTCATTTAAGAAGTTAACATATATTATGTAGTGCCTACAGTTTGTTTCTACCAAAACTAGTCGGTTAAGTTGAAGTGCTTAAATACATCATTTAGGAAATTCACTCATCATTCCTTAGATGAATCAGATGTTGCCATACGTACAATTTTAAAGTGTCGCCAAGTCAATACATCCTTAAGCTGCTTATAGTAAGCAGTTATTACAACTATTTACATGCAAATCATTTAAAACTGTTTGCAAAGCATAGGCTAAACATCCTCCCCCAAAATTCCATGTACTTTATAATTTATTTAGCAAACTCGCAGTTCTCAATTTATGCAACTAATGTCAAAAAGACTAAATGAGGGCTCCCCTGGTGGCGCAGTGGTTGAGAGTCCACCTGCCGATGCAGGGGACACGGGTTCGTGCCCCAGTCCGGGAAGATCCCACATGCCATGGAGCGGCTGGGCCCGTGAGCCACGGCTGCTGGGCCTGCGCGTCCGGAGCCTGTGCTCCGCAACGGGAGAGGCCACGGCAGTGAGAGGCCCACGTACCAAAAAAAAACTAAATGAGAGTGTGTTTTATATTTCATTAAGAAATAAAGATGAAGTTTAGATTTAAAACAGTAATTCTTGAAGGCTGCATTAACACAATAACTCTTGAAGACTGAGGTTTTCTCTCCTCATCTTCCCATCTCTGTAAAAAACATAGCCACCTTCCCAATTACTCAAGTTAAAAATTTAGCAGGCTCCCTGACTTCAGACTACACTACAAAGCTACAGTAATCAAGACAGTGTGGTACTGGCACAAAAACAGAAAGATAGATCAATGGAACAGGATAGAAAGCCCAGAGATAAACCCACGCACATATGGACACCTTATCTTTGATAAAGGTGGCAGGAAAGTACAGTGGAGAAAGGACAGCCTCTTCAATAAATGGTGCTGGGAAAACTGGACAGGTACATGTAAAAGTATGAGATTAGATCACTCCCTAACACCATACACAAAAATAAGCTCAAAATGGATTAAAGACCTAAATGTAAGGCCAGAAACTATCAAACTCTTAGAGGAAAACATAGGCAGAACACTCTATGACATAAATCACAGCAAGATCCTTTCTGACCCACCTCCTAGAGGAATGGAAATAAAAACAAAAATAAACAAATGGGACCTAATGAAACTTAAAACCTTTTGCACATCAAAGGTAATCATATGCAAGACCAAAAGACAAACCTCAGAAAATGAGAAAATATTTACAAATGAAGTAACTGACAAAGGATTAATCTCCAAAATTTACAAGCAGCTCATGCAGCTCAATAACAAAAAAACAAACAACCCAATCCAAAAATGGGCAGAAGACCTAAATAGACATTTCTCCAAAGAAGATATACAGACTGCCAACAAACACATGAAAGAATGCTCAACATCATTAATCATTAGAGAAATGCAAATCAGAACTACAATGAGATATCATCTCACACCTGTCAGAATGGCCATCATCAAAAAATCTAGAAACAATAAATGCTGGAGAGGGTGTGGAGAAAAGGGAACACTCTTGCACTGCCGGTGGGAATGTGAACTGGTTCAGCCACTATGGAGAACAGTATGGAGGTTCCTTAAAAAACTACAAATAGAATTACCATATGACCCAGCAATCCCACTACTGGGCATATACCCTGAGAAAACCAAAATTCAAAAAGAGTCATGTACCAAAATGTTCATTGCAGCTCTATTTACAATAGCCCGGAGATGGAAACAACCTAAGTGCCCATCATCAGATGAATGGATAAAGAAGATGTGGCACATATATACAATGGAATATTAGCCTTAAAAAGAAACGAAATTGAGCTATTTGTAATGAGATGGATAGACCTAGAGTCTGTCATACAGAGTGAAGTAAGTCAGAAAGAAAAATACAAATACCGTATGCTAATATAGAATTTAAGAAAAAAAATGTCATGAAGAACCTAGGGGTAAGACAGGAATAAAGACGCAGACCTACTGGAGAACGGACTTGAGGATATGGGGAGGGGAAGGGTGAGCTTTGACAGGGCGAGAGAGAGTCATGGACATATTCACACTAACAAACGTAGTAAGGTAGATAGCTAGTGGGAAGCAGCCGCATGACACAGGGATATTAGCTCGGTGCTTTGTGACAGCCTGGAGGGGTGAGATAGGGAGAGTGGGAGGGAGGGAGACACAAGAGGGAAGACATATGGGAACATATGTATAACTGATTCACTTTGTTATAAAGCAGAAACTAACACACCATTGTAAAGCAATTATACCCCAATAAAGATGTTAAAAAAAAAAAAATTTAGGAGTCATCCTTGATTCTTCTCTTTGCAAGGTTTAATAAAATACTATTACTTCATCTAAGTTGCTGAAATGTTATATATAGAACATAAACATACATATATCTAAATTTACCTATATACATATAGAACACACATACACACACACGGAATAAGACACTGCTTCTAAATAATAGTGGTAAACCAATGGAAACCAGTATCAACTTCCCCCTTCTCCAAATACACAGACACAGAAACACACACACATCATATTCTCCTTCACCCTTCCCATGCCCGTGGACATTCATTTATTGATTCCATTCTGTCCCCCAACAGTGTGGCTCAGGGCCACAGCATTGCGGAATGGGAATTCTGACTGGGGGGGGAGTCGGCAGGGGGCAGGCAGTGTATTAATTCTGGAATAAGATGCAACTAGGGAGAGGGCAGGCCAGAAATAGGACAGAGAGGGAGTGCTTAAATCAGCATGAAAGCACAGGGCTCCTGCAGAGAGGCCGTGGAATGTGGAAGATGCCACACAGAGCAAAATAGAAGCCAAGTTCAGTCATCTGTTTCTAAATTTTGCTTAGGGCAGGCCCTGGATCGAGGAAAGGAGAGAATGGTTTTTGCTAAGCTTCTGTTTGATCCCACAACCCTGGCTAGTAGCAGAGTTCCAGGGTTCAGCTACCTTAAGGAAAAATAAGCTCTTCTGTACTAGTCTAGGAATAAAACCACCTTTTATCCCAATGCCTGGCACACAGCAGACACCAAGTCAGTGTTTACTGGATGAATAACAGACTTCTGAAAACTTCCAAGCTGTCCAGCCTCACTTCCCCCATTGCCCTCTCTATCATCCATACTCTGGCTGAACCGATTCCTCACTATTCCCCATGCTTGCTGCCTCCAATCCCACACTTTCCTCCTCTTGAAATGCCTTCCTCCTTGCCTTTTCACAGCCAAGTTCAAATGTCAACTCTTCCATGAAGCTCTCCCTGATCCCTGCAATTCGTAACAGTCCCTGACTCTGAGACCACTTTATCTGTCCCACTTTACAACACTCTGAGTAATTATGTGCATGTCTCGTATCTTCTGCCAGAACAAAAGCCTCCCGTGAGAGGGATGACATGATGGTTCATTTTTCTATTTACTAAGGCTGCGCACATTTTTGGTTATATAAACACATGCTTCATTAACTACAGAAATAAGCCAAAAGAACAACATGCACTGAGGATTTTTTTTCCCACTGTACATAAATATCGTTTTACTAATTAATATGACTTACCACCCTAAGTCACTTGATGACCACGCAGGTTCTGATTCTAGTTTGGTTCCCGAACACACTGCAGGGTACAGTGATCAGTCCTATCATCGGTCAGACACGTCACGAGTTATTGTTACCACAGTCACACTCACCTCATTCGCTAAGGCAAAAGTTCCCCAGTGAATTGCCACAGATCTCTTTGTCTGCACATCAATGTGAATCTTTACAGCCTCTTCTGGGTCTACATGCTGGTACTTCATAAACCACCTGATAAAACACAGTAATGTATTAAATCTGGGCTTTTAAGTATACAATAAATTCTAATTACTGCTTCATGTAATCAACCTTTAACATTCTGCACAGGAGTGAATCACAGTAGGCAAAACCATCTCCCTTCAGTCCACTTTTCTGCCGGAAAAAAATAAGAATCTTTCTTCTACAAACTGGTATAACAGTAGATAAGTCTCAAGCAAAACCTCCCTTTGAACAGTAGGATTTTGTTTCACATGCATTTTTATTTCACTGATGATTTATTCTGAAGGTATCTTCTTACTTTAAAAAGCAGATATTTTGCAGTCCTGGTATGAATGAAAGAAACGGAATAATGGGCAAAGAACTAGAAATCAAAACTCCAGTTGCAAATAACCTTGCTGAAACAATTTTTTTATTAACGTGCTAAAGTGAAAAGGAAACAAAAATTAGTGTATAATTTGTAAGATCAGGAGCAAAAAAAATCCAGTTTCTATTCAAGGATTTTATTTAAATACCATACAACTGATGAATGAGGTGTTTGGTTTGGCAAGAAGAAAGGGTACATCAGGGAGACTAAATAGAGTTTAGCAATGTGAAAGGCTGCCTCATGCCTGGGAAGAGACGGCTCTGGAGGCAGGGGGCCTGGGCGTGAATCCCAGCTCTACCAATTCCTGGGAATGCCTTTGGAGCTGCTTCAGTTTCTCCAGCTGCCATTTCCTAGTCCGTGAAATAGAAACTATGCCCACTTCACAAGGTTATTGTGAGGATTAAACAAGACAAAATTTATTCAAAGCATGAAGTACAGCAGCTACTTCATAGAATTCTTCCAAAAGAGTAGAGAGTTGACAAAGCCAACACTTTCAGGAGCATTATTTCTGATACAAAAGTAAAATGTACTACATACAGGCATATCCTTTGCTTGCCCAGCCAGCAGTTTATTTATTTTTATAAATTTATTTTATTTATTTATTTTTGGCTGTGTTGGGTCTTTGTTGCTGCCCACCGGCTTTCCCTAGCTGCATCGAGCAGGGGCTGCTCTTCGTTGCAGTGCGCAGGCTTCATTGTGGTGGCTTCTTGTTGCAGAGCGCAGGCTCTAGGCGCGTGGACTTCAGTAGCTGTGGCACGCAGGCTTCAGTAGTTGTGGCTCGCGGGCTCTAGAGCACAGGCTCAGTAGTTGTGGCGCACGGGCTTAGTTGCTACGCGGCATGTGGGATCTTCCTGGACCAGGGCTCAAACCCGTGTCCCCTACATTGGCAGGCGGATCCTTAACCACTGTGCCACCAGGGAAGCCCCCCCAGCCAGCAGTTTAGAAGAGGTAAAACAACAGTGTCTTCACATTATTTATATCCTGGGTCTGCTACTGGCAATGAACACTGCAGTGAAGATTAAGGGATCTGGATTGAGCAGGGGGCTGCTGCACTTTGTAGAACACGTCATGGAAAAGTTCATCCATCTGCACAGCACAAGGGTTGTTATTTACTGTTAGGAGTTGCCGGGCCTGATGGGAGCCCCAAAACAAAGCCACTGTGTTCTCAACAAGAGATTAGAGAAGCACTTGTTCTGCTTTATCTCCTGACACTTAGAATTCAGGGCAAGATGAAAACAGTTTTGGCTGTTTCTCTCTATTGATTTTTTAAAAACTCCTACTTCAAATCAAAGGGATAGACATATTCCTTTTCATGTCTGAAATACATTTAAAATGTTTACTCTGGTAAACAAATTAAAATAAAAAGTCAAAATCCTAACCGACTTGGATAGAATGCCCGATGACAGGAGATCCCAAAAGTAAGGGTGAAAACATTCTAAGCAGATTATTGAAAATCGTTTTGGGTGTGATCATCTTACATTTATAGACTACTCTGAAGTTTTGTTGATAACAACATTTCTAAAACTTTAGTACTGGGGCTTCCCTGGTGGTCCAGTGGTTAAGACTCCAGGCTTCCAATGCACAGAGCATGGGTTCGATCCCCAGTCAGAGAACTAAGATCCCACATGCCATGCAGCATGGCCAAAAAAACTAAAAATAAAAATAAAACTTTAGAACTGACTAGAGAACTGGAATACAGAGTAGAGGCTACTGCCAATTTAATTCTTTAGAGCAAATACTGTCCTCCCCATCCTTCTCCCATCTTAGTGACAAGACAGCTGCAGTGCAAGAAGCAAGGGGGAATTATGTGAGTGCATTTGTGTACTTCGGCTGTACATATTTTATCATCACCTGTATATGACAAGTCTGTATATTTCTACATATGAAAATTTTATTTTCACAAGTATAAGAAGTATTCTAATATACTAAGAACATATATTGAATAAGGATCAATACCATATAAAATTGATTTGTAAACAGGTTGACTGATGTTTTAAGAGGTTTCATTAGAATTCAGAATTAGAATTATGTGAAATTCAAGCACTACTATTGGCTTATAATAATTTTTTAGTAAGGTAAAAATATCTAGTCCCTTAAATGAAGAAACTAGAAAAAAGGGAGAAATAAGCATTAATATACTTAGCAATGAAACGGTTTTGGTGAACTTAAAAAGTTAATGAAAAGTATAACAATCTGATGGAAACCAATGATCAGATTTGCTCAATTCATCTATGTATCAGTGTTCTGTTTGTAGGATCACCTAAATAAAATGCCATCCTACATACCATTCTGTATGAGTCTGTACATGCACTTCAGAAAATAAAACATTTTTTAAATTAGCCCCTACTTTGCTACTTTTAGTGTTTATTTTCTCTTAACTTGTACATATCAACCAGAGTTGACTGAAATCTAACTGAATTCTTGAAAATCACTTTTTCCTTAAATAGGCAATATTAAGGAAAACACAGGCAGCGGATGGGTCTCCTGCGTCTCAAATGCTCGTGTGACCTTTATCTGCTCTGTGCTCTGAAGACAGGCAATCAGTACAGAGAGGTTGCAGGGCAAGTGGTAAGTAGTGCAGCAATGTCTTCAGCAGACTAACCTCAGTGCTGCCTGCAGTAAGACCGTCACAAGGGACTGATGCTATAGGCCAAGCCCTTTTTCTCCACTAAACACAGGACAGGGCATGGGTGCATTCCACTCACGGAGAGTATCCTCCACGTGAAAGAAAGACCAAGAGTCAGGTTTGAGTACTGGCCGACAGGTTTAACTTTAGTCGGAATAGTACATGAACTTCGGGCTAGGCAGAGTAATTCTTTAAACCGTCGTCCTTTTTTCTTGGTAATATAATTTCAGTAACTACAATTATTTAACTGATATCACTGTAATTAAAGCATTTTAAAATTCAAAGAAAAATTTTAACTGACTCTGGCCCACCAACCCCCCACCCAATGTATAACAAAGTCCACCATTAAAACCACAGATTACTCGGAGTCCAGTTAATTTATCATGTAGCAGGAATGCTTGCTTTAGACATCTACATACCTTGGTTCATACGCTCCAATGGGAATAGCTGCGAGGTCAAAAGGTCCAAATCTTTTTCCTATCTCTTCAAAAGCAGAGCAATAACCAGTGTCTCCTGCGAAAAAAAAGCGGTTCCAAGGCCCCAAGACAGACCAGCTGCCCCAGAGAACCCTGTTGTCATCCGTCAGAGTCCTTTTACACCAGTGCTGGGAAGGTGTGAACACAAACGTCACCTTATCGTGTCCGGGGACGCAGTTCTCCTCCCACCAGTCCAGCTCGATCACATTCTCACAGCCACATTTCTGCATCCAGTCCAGGAGCCCCAAAGGCACAAACCACCTCAGCTCGTTACCAAATCGCTCGTTCAGAGCAGTGACAGAACTGTAGTCCAGGTGGTCGTAGTGGTTGTGGCTGATGAGGACCGCGTCTATCTGGGGCAGTTCACCGACGGTGCAAGGGGGACGCCGGAACCGCTTGGGACCCACGCGCTGCGACGGGGAGGCCCGGGCGCTAAAGACAGGATCCGTGAGCAAGATGAGCTCATCCATTTCCACCATCACTGTCGCGTGTCCCAGCCACGTGACTCTTAAGCCAGCTTCCTTCACTCCAGCTTCTTCAGGGTCATCGATAAAATACGGCTTAAGCACTGGGAGTTCTTTATCAAGCTCCTACATATATGAAGAAAGAAAGAAAAGCAGCTATTAAAAAAAAAAAGTATTATGTGTCATCATAAATACATTTTTGACTTAAATTACAGAGAGAAGGGTTATTTGGGGAGAACTGAAGTCATTTGATAAATCTGTTATTTTTGCTTTTTTCTTGAAAGTGCATACTTCTTTCTGAATCTGACTCAATAATCACTATATAGTGATGTAAGATGTTACTCCCAAATGCAACCAACAAAGGGAAAATTAAACTTAAAACTTTGAGTACTGCTGACTTTACGAAATATTTTTAAAGGCCCTCTTCTGTAAGTGCCAGAAGTAGACCAACCGAGATGCAGTCCCTTTGCTACTGCTGTTTACTCAGCTGGTGCATTCGCTACTGAAAACTGCCTCAGGAGGTCAGCCCCTAGAAACAGTAAAGAAAACTTTAGACCACATATGTGTAGATCGTGGATCTCACGTGAACCTGACTTCCTGAGTACACAGAATTCAGAGCAGAGTGCTGTGATGGCTGCTGGGTAAGTCAGGGGCATAGATGGTTCTCCTCACCGCTTACCTCTGAGGTTTTCTACCACTGATCAAACCAACGCGGAACACGGTCCCTGCCCATGAGAAGATGATCGCTTTTGGGGGCAAACAGGTGTGAAACAATAACTACAACATAATGTGTTAAGCATTATTCCTTTGTTTATTATTCTTCATTTTATCCTTGGATTAAGCTGGACCAACAAGAAGCTGTGTTCTAGCATCACAGTCCTGGCTTTTATAAAACTTTCATAAACTGTGCTTTGGTGTTAGGCCATACAGCTGCATGGAGGTCTCTTCCTTGTGAAACTTGCCGAGCATGTACCGTGGGGCTGGCTGTCTTGATGACTGGGTACCAGCGCACACCAACCCCACCTTCCCACACACACCCCAGAAACACTGCTCTCGATTCCCTGTAACAGGAAAAGCTCTTCTGCAGAGCAATTGGCTTTACTCCTTTGACTACCATTGGGAAAACTGACAATCCTGCTTTGACTTTTGCTTTGACAGAAAGTTCAGAGTAAAAGCTGAAGACTCCTACAGCCTATATGCAGAAGGGAACAGGGCAGGGCACATTGCAGGGAACAATGGAACAGATTTCTATGCTAACCTTTCTTGGCTTTATTTTTCTACCCTAATTGTCCATTTGCTCTTGTATGTTTATCCATCTGGTTTTTTACTGCTACATGTCTTTTTACAAGCTGCTGCAAATCAGTTTTGAAAAAGGCATGGTACTGAATAAATAAAATACAAGGCATGCTGTAGCCCAGTAAGAAGGAATGAAGAGCCCAGCTGCGGAAGGCATTACAGACACAGTAACTTGTGTGCGTTCCTGAAGAATGGTGAGAAGTTCCTGATGCAGAGAAAAGGGGGAAGGGCATTTCAGGTGGAGAAAATGCCGAAGCAAAGGCACAGAGCCAAGTAGGAATGTGGCATTCAGGGGGCAGAAGACAAACTGAAATCTTATAGGATCAGAACCCAGTAAAAGCCTTGAATCCCACGCTTCACCCAGAGACAGTGAGGAAGCATCGATAAGAAAAGAAAAAACAAAGACATGACCCAATTCATGTTTAGAGAAACCACTTTTCAAGTTTAAATGATGACCTGGGGTGTGTCACAAGAGCTGCCAGGAGAGACAAAGAGCTGGACAAAGGAGACAGCAAAGGGCAGATGGGGGAGATGCAGGTGAAGGGAAACTGAGAGGTCACTGAGCTGGTCCAAACAGGAAGTGGGCCCAGAAGGTGGAGAATGACAAGATAGCTCTTAGCCAGCCTAAGCCTTAGTTTCCTCATCTGAAAAATGGGTATAATAATTGCACCTACATGTCATTACTGGGGGCTGAATTAGGAGAGGCTGGCACACAGTAAGCCCTCTGCAAGTAATGCAAAAGAAGAAGGAAGCACACCCCAACCCCGACAAGCAATCAGGCACCACCCCTATCGATCCCTTACATATTTACTTGTTGCCTTACTCATAGTTAAGAGTTAAGATCCGAGTTAAGATCCTAACTCACATCCAGGCATGTTCAAGTCCTCCTGATGGCTCAGCCATCTTCCTTCAACTCATTCCACACACTAGAGCCACCTCAAACACTTTTCTTATGGAGTAGCTCTCTCCCCTGCTGAAAAATCATCACTGGTTCTGTACTGTTTGACAAAGCACGTCTTACCTCCTTAGCCCAGTGGTAAGCCTGTTGGTGGACTGCCGCTCCTCCTTTCCAGCTGTTTCACTCAGTTCCTGCACACGGCTCTGTATTCCCCCCAACACTGGGACTGCACCTCGCTCCCAGCCTGAGCTTGGGAGGCCAGCACGACACTGACCCTCTTCCTTCTCTCTCTCATCCCTTCAAGACCTTAATCAAATCGCACGCCCTTCACGGAGCCATCCCTGAGTCTCCACAGCCGGCATTGCTCACTCTCCCTCTCCACTCCCATGCCACCTGTTTGCACACCATGGGTGTTCTGCTCTTTACCCTGGTTAACTGTACACAGGATGCAGCCCGTGTCTTATTCAACTTGGAATCATTCACAGTGCCTGCTTCAATGACTAATACACGGCATGCACGATAAAATTTGTTGAATGGATGAGTGAATGAATTTTTCAACCCGGTTCTCAAAGCTGGTAGTTAGGGTTGGTGAACAAATGCCATACGGTGTGCTTATCAAGAATTATGGAAGAAAGGAGAGGGAATGCGTATCAGCTGAGTCCCTAGCATGCGTTAGGCTTCATACGAGGCACGTGATGATGACGACGCAGCATTATCCAATGTATCAAGTACTTTCGTATAACACAAAACACATGCGTGGAGTGCTTACCATGTGCTAGAAACTGTGCTAACTGCTTCATAAAACTTTTTTCATTTAATACCACAATGCTGGAGGTAGGTGTTATTAACTCTCTCCATTTTACAGACAAAAAAACAGAAGTTATAGCATTCACACGAGGGCACGCCGCCTGCCTCCACACATTCTGCCTCACACCACCTTACACCCAAGTATTCTCATTTAATACATATTTTTAAAAAACACAAGTACAGGGCTTCCCTGGTGGCACAGTGGTTGAGAGTCCGCCTGCCGATGCAGGGGGCACGGGTTCGTGCCCCGGTCTGGGAAGATCCCATATGCCGCGGAGCGGCTAGGCCCGTGAGCCATGGCCGCTGAGCCTGCGCGTCCGGAGCCTTGCTCCGCAGCGGGAGAGGCCACAACAGTGAGAGGCCCGCGTACCGCAAAAAAAAAAAAAAAAAGGTACAGACATAACCTTGTTTTATTGTGCTTCACAGATACTGCGGTGTTTTTTTGGTTTGTTTTTTGTTTGTTTTTTTTACAAATTGAAGGTTTGTGGCAACCTTGCATTGTCAGATGATGGTTAGCATGTTTTAGCAATAAAGTATTTTTAATTAGGCAAACATAACTTTCATATGCACTGAGAAACCAAAAAATTGGTATGACTGGCTTTCTTGCAGTGGTCTGGAACTGAACCCACAATATCTCCAGGGTGGGTCCGTAACAGCCTGGGATTCAGGTGGGGGAGAATCAGATGTGGATTACTGTGGACACAAGGACACTTTTAGAGATGACAGATATGTTCATTTTCTTGATCATGGTGATCATTTTGCAGGTTTATACAGATATCCAAACTCGCCAGATTTTACTTTTTGAATATGTGGAGCTTCTATTATGTTAATAAAACTATAAAAAAATTTAAGTAGCATCATGTTTAAACAGTGCATCAAAACATCTGAAACAAAACTCCCTGAAAATTGTTGCATTTTTTTTGCTGTAAGTTTAAAAGTCCTTTTAAAGTTCAATATCTGGCATTATCCACTGACAACTGAGAGGAAACAAAACCTTGAGCACCTCTGGCAGCCTCAACTTGTTCTCCAAACACAGTACTAACAGGTAAAGTGTGGAAAGAAGCCCATCACAAAGGATCATACACTGTGCGGTCCTATTTATATGAAGTTTCCAGAATAGGCAAATCCATAGACAGAAAATAGGTCAGTGATTTCCAGGGGCTGGAGAACTGGGGGGTGATGACTCAGGACACAGGGTTTCTTTTTGGGATAATAAAAACGTATTAGATTGTAGTGACGGTTGCACAACTCTGAATGTACCGAAAAACTGCCACATTGTACATTTTAACCAGGTCAATTGTATAATACGGGAAATATATCTCAACAAAGCTGTTTTTTAAAAAAGGTAAAACGTTTGACAAGAGATCTGAATTAAGCAGTCACACTTTTCTTCAAGGTCCTTTCCTCATGCTATATTGTTTCTAAGCCCATCCATCGCAAAAGAGTAGCTTATTTTAAAGAATTTGATCTCTAACACTACTGGCCCATGAAACTCAAAGAAATAGTGCCTACAATTGAGATTCCAAAAAGAAAAAAATAGTTTTTTACTTTTTATCCTAATCAGAGTTTGAAAAAGTACGTAGAATGGGGAAATTCTGGTTTATTTACAGAAATCAAGCACCCACTTGGCATTTTTCTTTACTAGATCAAGATTTTTCTTGGTTGGTCCTCCTTTTTTAAAGCTACAAATGAGAAAATCCCCAAGCCTGTTATTAACCTGTACACTAGTTAATGTTTCACTTTTCTTGGGGAAAGGGAAAAATCCCAACATTTATTCAACCACTACTCTGCCAGATGCTTTAAGTACATTGTCATCTAACTCTGTGAAGCAGATGTTACTGCCATTTCACAGAAAACCAGACCAAGGCAGAGGGTCACTAAGACACTTGCCAAGGTCATACAGCAAGTAAGTGTCCAATCAGGAGTGGAATCAAGGTCTTCTGACTCTCAAGACCCTCTCTCTTCATTAAACCATAACTCTTTCCATGGCATAGATAATGTTAACTTCAAAACAATGAAACCCACATTCTTGTTAATATACTTATTAAGTATATATGTTTCTGTACATGAATGAGACAAAGATTTGACAAAAATCTGTTCAAACCATATTTTCTAAAAAAAAATC